AATGGCACACCATTTGACCCAGCACAACCATTCCAGTGATGGGATATACTATCGTTCAGGCACTAGCATACATTTTCATGCCAAAGTGGTAGAGCACCATCTTGCTGCAGAATGAAACCAGGAACTGCTTTCTATAACTGAAAGAACAACCACTCTGATAGCATATCTTGAGAAATTACCCATTAATTGATTTTTCTATGAAGAAAAAAAGACCAAAAATACAACTGTTGGAAATAGTAAGAATTTATAGCACTGGTACTGGCAGAATCACACTCATGTTCCATTACAACGTGTGGATTTTTCGTGTCCCAAATCTGTAAATTACTGTGATTAACTTTTTCTCACAGAAAGCTTTATGCAACGGCTTTTCCAAAGGTTTTAATGCCTGCATCTTCTGAAAGGTGTGTTGCCAGAACTGTAGACCCTTCCGTAACACACACCACACCATTACATGTGGCACACTGAGTTCAGAACTTGCACAGCACATTGATTTTTTGGGACTTCATAAAAACATTTTACAGATTTTTTTTACCACTTCGGTTTTGGCTGCTGTTTGTCCTGGGCTTGTTTACTTATACAAACATCCCGTGTCCTGAAAATGCTTCACCCACAGTCTGATGTTGTGACAATAGGATGCTTCTTTACCAAATTTCAATCAAAAAGGCTTTGAACAATGATAAATGATGATATTTTGGCATATTCCAAAGTATAATATGGCTTTTCCTGCATGGATGGTGCCATTTTGATTAGCAGTGCCTCTAGCAATGATTTCACAACCAGAAGATTTTTTGCTGTTGCCAGATAAAACGTGTATAATTGTAGATTCAGAATTAATCTGTTTGGGCTAATCTTAATGCAACGAAAGTACTTAAGCATAATTTTTTTGTATTTACTTATTTATTTATGCTGCTTTATGTGTGGTTTAGTAATGTTATCAGTTTCTTTAGCTCTGATCAAGCTTCACAGATGGTAGGTTACCTGCTAAAACAACACCAAAATTATAAGGCACATTGCCAAAATGATATAAAGCAATTAAAAAAAATAAGGAACTTACAACCAGATTGCAGCCAAACACTTGAAAGCTAACATAAATTAGTACAATTGCAATCTGAAATGCATGAATTTATACCCCCCCAAAAAATGCATAATGTGTAAGCATGCAAACAAACAGGAGATGAGAACCGAAGGCAAATTCTTTGAATGACCAAAAATTTTTGTATACCTGATATGTAAATTAATTTGAATGATAGATTATAAATTCTACAAGTCAGATTTTTATGAAAAAAATCAGCTGGAAATTATACAAAGACACAACTTGTTTTCCTTACATAAAAGTAAAGCCTTGTTCCCAGATGATAAAATCAAATCTTTACCATTAAAACAATAACAAAAAATAATTTCTTAAAAGTTTTAGTATTTTTTTCTGTACTTACCCTACTTTCAACATTAAAAGGTTCAAGAAGGACAGCAACTTAACATTATTAAAACCTACCTAATTATTTGAATACAATTAAAAAAAGGAAATACATATTTACTACCTATATATTACTACAAAATTTTATCATTACTATTAAATTTTACTTTTGATTCAGGTGATAATGCATATTAAGGAAATGGAAAGAATTAGAAATTTTGTAATCAAAGTTTTTTGCCTTAATGCTGCAACTGATGCAGGAAATTTCATAACACTAGTTGCAAAATGTCATTAAAAATAACATGTTATTTTGAAAAATTCATTCTGTTCAACTGGTCAACAGTTCACTTTTATAATATGGCATAAAAATGGCAGTATTATTCCTAATTGATTAGAAACTATTTCCAATTTCATTAGAACAGCAATTTTTGCCTTTGGTGTAGTGAAAATAACAACATCTGATTTTAGATGTTAAAAGCAGATTTAACAGTGTAAAAGGAAATTACATAAAATAAGCTTAAAAAAATGGTTCATTTAAGAGATATATGTGGTATCCGTTAGTTCAACACAGCCACCAGAGGGCATCACGTATGTGTCGACAGCAAGAGCAAAAGATAGATGTTGATTCCACGCGAAGGTGGTAACAAAAGAACTATGTTAAAATAGCAAGCACGACTAGGTGCTGTGTAGCTATTTAAATACTTAAAGTCATGCAGAACTGTAATTGTATTTAACAAGCGCGAGAACGTGCAACGGTACTGTTCAAATCTGTAGCTCCTGTAGCTTCAATCATTAAATGTCTGTGGTGTGGAAGTGTTATTTACTTAAGAATATCATCTTCAACTCCCCACTCACATATATAAAAGGTAAAATAAACACATGGATCAGAATAATCATAGGATACATTTTTTCAAATAGCTGCATTTCACCTTCACAGGAAGCTGAATAAATCATTTTCGCTAAACTTGGTTATATTGCTGGACTCAACTCCTCAGGATGAGTTTAATTTGATATCACTGTTAGATGAGATAAGCCATAACACAATATCCTATGCTATATCTGAATAAATGGCATACTGTTTGACCACTGCTAATGCAACCTTGATTGGCAAGAACTGAACTTATCCAACAGGGTTTTTAACAAACTGGTTATACAGTGATTGGCAGGAACTGAACTTATTCAACAGGGTTTTTAACAAACTGGTTATACAGTGATAATTGACAACAGTCGCCTTTCATCCTATCTTGATTCATCAGATAAAACTGTTTTTACTAAAAAACACAAAACTATTATTTTCTCTCTTTACTATTATTACGTGACTACATACTTTTTTTGCATTTCTTTAAAACTTTTTTGGCAAAACAATGCAAAGGTTATCTTCCTAAGGGTAGAGACATGAAGGACTTTCTAAGGCACACTGATTCCTATCCATGTTACACACAGGAAAAACCATGAAAAAGCCAATGCTGCCAGTTCATTTGCTGGGATGCAAACTCAGATTGAACTTCCAGCGACTTACTTCTTGAATACTGATAAGCAGCTGCAACACTGGTTATAAAGTTTCAAGAAACAGATAACAAGAAAATTGCTACTTTGTTAGAAAATTTAAACAATGTTAATAAGAAAAATCACTTTTCTTTAATTTTTAGCTTTATTATGCATAAGCTTTTTACTATTTAATAAAAAAAAAAAAAAAAAAAAAAAAGGTCATTCTTAGAAGCTTTGATAGAATGAAACTGCATCTAAAAAAATATTACTATAAGATTAAGAATGCAGTAATAGAATAATAGAAAAATGCATTATTTATAAAATCAGTTTATGACATTTTCACCAAAGTAATAAACAAATAAAAAGATACAGTGGTGGCCAAAATTGTGGACACTTTTGAAAATTTTTATGTTTTTGAACTTTGTATGCTTATAGAAAACGTTACGTTTCACAAAATGCAAACTTGTATATATCATTTTAAAGAGAATTTATTACTGAATTCAATACAAAACACAAAATTCAATTATTTGCAATACAAAAAAATTTAAACGATAATAGTTATCGATATACATTAGATAGTGATGATTGCAGTGAGTTATCAGTACTTAGTAGGGTACCCTTTATTTTTTATTACAGCTTCACATCGACGTTTCATTGAGCTGGCAAGAGTTTTAAGCTCTTCTTTCGTTATTACATGATGCCAGGGAACAATTATAGCCTCAATTAGTTCCCTTTTATTTGATGGGCGCCTCATTCGGACAAGAATTTTGAAACGGTGCCACAAATTTTTGATAGGATTGAGGTCAGGACTGTTTCCTGGCCATGACAACAATTTAATGCTCTTTGCACGAAACCACTCTTTCGATATTTTGGTCATGTGACAAGGAGCAGAATCCTGCTGAAAAATAAACGAAGCATTGTTGGGAAAGAGATCTCTGATGGAAGGTAGACGTTTTGGTTCTTATTCTAGAATGTATTTTCTGGCATTCAGTGTCCCATCGATGACATAAAGGTAACCAATACCATCTGCTGACATGCATGACCAAATAAAAACACTGACTGGTATCTTCACAGTTGCTTGAATGCAGTCAGGATGTAGCTCTTCTCCTATTCTACGTCTTACATATTTTCGCCCATCACTACCGAATAACAATATCTTAAGTTTCATCACTCCATACAACTTGTGACCACTGATCATCTGTCCAATTAATGTGTTCCTTTGCCCACTGTAGTCTTTTTTTTTTTTTTTTTTTGTCTTTGCTGAAAATTAAGATAAGGCTTTTTTAGTGGAATTCTACCTCTCAGTACAACATATGTTAAACTTCTCCTGATTGTTCTTGAACTTACAGAAACACCAGCATCATTCAGATCACTTCTGATGGCCGCTGATGACATTTTTCTATCTTGGAGACATAGTCATTTTATTCTTCTGTCATCAATAGATGTGGTGCACCTTTTTTGGCCTTTTCCTTCTTTTTTTTTTTATTGCATTTGTCTCCTGATATCGTAAACAAAACTTTCGGACTCCAGAACTGAACCACCCACCTGTCTTGCAATTTCAGCATAGGAAAGACCACTTTCTCGTAACACAATAATATTACATCTCTTTCTAGGTGTCCAATCTACTCTTTTATTTAATGTCATTGCTTCTTGACTAAATATTAAAAATTTTTACAAAAATTCCTACTTGTAATTGCAGTTTATAAGAAACAGGTCTTCCTTCTACAGAACAAAGCAAAATAATGAATTGTTTCAAGTGTAAACATGATGTCAGCTTTTACTGGCAGTTACTAACATTTGATTGGTTCTCAGAACAAGAACAGTGATTGGCCAGGAAAACTAGACATTACAAACCACTTCATAAATGTGTTTTTTTTATTTATATTAAAGTACATATAACTTTTTTTTTGTATTGCAAATAACTGAATTTTGTGTTTTGTATTGAATTCAGTAATTAATTCTCTTTAAAATGATATATACAAGCTTGCATTTTGCGAAACGTAACATTTTCTATAAGCATACAAAGTTCAAAAACATAAAAATTTCCAAACGTGTCCACAATTTTGGCCACCACTGTATATTAAAATCAGATACTTACCATCGAATTGGTAAATTTCTTTCAGTTCTCATTCGGTAATAATGATCTTCTGTAAATTGAGCTAGGCCAAAATCACTAATTTTTACATGCTTTTCAGATGCTACCAAAATATTTCTTGCTGCCAAATCTCTGTGAACAATATGCTTTTTCTCAAGATACTCCATGCCCTTTTAAGAAAAATTTTAAATTATACAAAATGGAAATATTATGAAGATGAACACAGGAAAAACACATACACATATACTACATATCATGTTTATTACCTCAGCAACATCAGCAGCAAATTTCAAAAGATGAGAACAGTTTAATTTATTTTTGCGGTACTGCAAATAGGCTAAAAGGCTGCCTAACTCCAAGTACTCCATAACCAGCATGGTCTCAGGATCTAGGAAATAAAATAATAGCCTTAAAATATAAGCAATTATTTGAATTAATACAAAGACAGGATAATATTTCATATACTGAAAAAAAATCTTAATATTTCTTTAATATATAAAAATACAATATTTTAGCAAATAATTTTTAGACAGATATTAAATGATACTGAACTAGGAAGCAGAAGAAAATCAAAATGACTCCTGGAGGAATAGGAAGTCAGTTAACTGAAAGAGCCTGAAAAAAAGTGATGTCTTACTTTGTTATGCACCCCCCAAATCTAATAATATTTATTAAAAAATTAAGTTAAACAGTTTAATATAAATGCATTAAAAATAAATAAATAAAAAAAAACATGCTTTTAAGTCACCATACTCTATTCTTTGTCATACGTGACTAAATATAAAATCATAGTATGAAAATGTAATGGGCTACTGACAAGATTTCAAGGAATAATAAAAGTAACTGCATGGCAATGAAACACACACAAATGATTGCACTCAATTTATTTAAATTTCTCTTTAGTAGTTTTAATTTTAAAACCCATAATTTTTTTAAAAGAAACTCCACAATTTTATATTTAGTAATATGTTATCAAGAATACTGTAATAATTAAGAAATTGGCTTTTTCTATTTTACATATTTATCTCTAGTGTAAGTAAAAAAGTTGTTTTGTGTATGTTTTATTATTCTCCAGAATTTATTTTTTCCCCCTTGATACTTCTCCATAACATTTTCTCTACTACTTTACATTTTACATGGAAAAATTTCTCTTTTTAGTCCTGTGTGATTGGGTATACTAAAAGTGGCAAACCAATTTTTTTCTTGATTATCCATGAAAATGTATCAACAGTTCTCTCAAACAGAATAACTGAATTGTACTTTATCATTTCAATCAAACATTAAAGCCATCAAGATTTTTTTTTAGGATGAATTAAACATTGAACTGCTGTTAAAGAAAAATATCTGTTATCAAAGTAAAACTAATTTAATGAAAAAAGAAGTGTATATCTTCAAGTAATAGACCCTTAACTAGCAGAAGGCTTCAGTTAAACATAAATATTTTAAGAAGCTGTTAATAGATGACAGCACACAACAAACTAACTATAAATATTTCAACTTTATATAAAAAAAGAAAAGAAATTTGTGAAACAATTCATTTTTATCTTGACATCAGAATATAGTCCACTAACAAATCTGCTTTAATTACTTCATCTGATGATTAATTTGTTACAAAACTTGAAAACTTTAGTTATGAACCTAAATCCTAGTTTTTATGATATTCCATTGATAAACTTTTATATTAATAACCATTCAGTTACTTTTTAAACCTTTCGAAATTGAAGTGAAATGTAAAAATTAAGAACTTCATAAGTATGTGGATTTTACACAAATTGCCTTCGGTCACATATATCTAAACATTTACACAGCTTACTAAAGATTTTTGTTCTAAATATTTCTGTAAAGTCAGAAAATATCATTCCTGCTGATCTAGGTTAATCTGTTTTTCAATGAATATAAACAAAAAAGCAAGAAACACTCTGATGTAGTACATCAGTATCTAAAATAGTATCCTATGCAAAGAAGCAGAAGAAAATAAAGAACATAACGAAGCATTCAAAAATAAAGCAGAAGGAGAATAAAGAGGAAAATACGCAAGCCAGTTTCTCACTGTTCTTAGATCAGTTTGCCTAAATACAGAACTTGATGCAGATCATTAAAAATAAGATATAAAAATTATCTCCAGTAAAATAAAACATTCGAGGAAAGAAAAATATTCCTTATTGCAAGTAAATCTTAAAATGATTTCTTGTCATTTTTCTGATACACTGCAAAGCTCCAAGATCCAGAACTGAAGGGACTTAAGCGATTTCAGATTTTAGATCATAAGTTTATATCTAATAAGATGACATACAGATATGGCAACACTGGGGCCTAGATCAGACAGAAAAATGCTAAGCCCCTACAATCACTCAAGGGCCAAAAGTGTGATCCTGGTCGATAGCAATACAACATCAATCAATATATTGTCATTAGCCACCATACAACTCCCTAGCCCAGTCAGTGTTTGAAAGTGATATTCGGGAATTTCAGTTATTTGGAAGACAAATCACATTTATGATACACCTCCCCTTATTCCCCATTTTTAGTCAAGAAAATTTTTTATCATTATTTTATTTTGTTCATTCCGTTTGTTTTTTGGGAGGGGGGGAGGTGGTAGTCAGGAGGTTTGGATATTAGATCATTCCAGATATTGGACATCTGGCTTTCTTACTTTGTGCTATAAAATAGTAATAAAAGAAGATAATTTCATCAAAAGAATTTACATGTCATCAAAAAGATAACAGGCATAAAGAAATTTGCAGAACGTAGACAGGCAGAAGAGTGATTCCACTAGTTTGCACAATGTCAGAATCATACATTTTAAAAATTGCATTTTAAAGTAAAATTTTTAAGGTGAACAAGAAATTACTTTTGATTAAGGAGTAAAACATTAAGCATCTACAAACCTTCAACAAGACCTTTAATTTCTACAATATTCTTATGTCGCAAGTTTTTCATTATCTCTATTTCTCTTTTCAAATCAGTAAAGCATTCTAGTGACTGATTAGTCATCCGAATCCTTTTCACTGCCACTTCTTCAGAAGTTAATCCACTGCAGTGTGTCAAAGTAGCTTTTAAAACTTCTCCATAAAAACCCTATGAATAAATTTAGTACATACTGAAAATATATGTTTAACACTTTTCAAGTATATACTGTAACAACATATGTTAGTAAAAGCATGGGAAATATTGCATAAAAATTCAACATTAGCTACCATAATGATTTTTCCTTACTAAAACAGTAAAGAATTTAATAAAAAAGACAACTGGTCATATTATTTTTTGCTATATTCTATTAAATTTGAAATTTTATTTACTTGTCCAAGTGTTCCTTTGATAGTTAACTGTTCTTTATCAATGACCCATGACAGATCCCCTGAATTTGTATTATTTGTGTCAGGAGCAGGATCAGTTTCGCTGAAAAATATATTGAGATATATAAAAATGACATACTTTAATTAAAGTTAATATGAGAGGCAGCAGCAAAATGAGTTTTACAATATAGTTCTATTTAACTTCACTGGGTACTTTCTGATAGCCATAACCATCATGAAAAACTCCCAATTTATTTTCAAGCCTGTGATTTAGCAAAAAATGTATCTTTGAATATCTTTATGGGTCACAGGTACTATTTTATTTATAAACGATAACAAAAACAATTTTAAAAGAAAGAAGACATTTTAGGGGAGAAAATCTGTATGGCCGATATTTACATTTTTACAGAGGCTGCATATTGTTCAATGTTTCTCTTTTCACAGTTAATATATAGCAGATAAATCCATGTGTACTCAAACATGTGTATGGTACACATATATATTAACTAATATCATATTTATACTGAAAAATATGTCAAAACACGACAATTCTACTGAATGTTGAAAACAGGAGAGCGGATAATCAGAAAGTACACTTAAAAGTTATTCAAAATGAGTCTAAATGCTACTGACAAAGCTGGTGTTCCAATAACGCATCTGGCAGTTTTGAAGTATGGGAGGTTTGAATATTGCACAGCCCACTACTTTAGAAGAACTCCAGTGATAAACCTGACATAATTTATGGAAAATAATTTGGGTTTTTAGCAGGGCTGTGGAATCAGAATCGGGAAAATTTTGGGGTAAAAGGAGTCGGAGCTCGAGTCGCTAAAAACAGGTCGACTCCGATTATGACTCCAGTTTTTGTGGGGCAGTTTGAAATTAAATTAAAATGAATTGAAAAAAAATAATGACAAGTGAGTTATTATTTTATTTATGACTAATACATTAATAAATAGTTATTTTCTATTTATTGACATTAATAAATAAATTAAGGGAGGAGGAAGGATGTGATATTTGCCATAGTGATTAAACTGATTCATTTAGTACAAATCTCACTGGTAAATTTAGGTAAGCAGCAACAGGAGCAAGAACTCCCAAAATTGATGCCATTCTTAGGAAGTGAGCAGGAAAAGAAGCAATTATTGATCAAGCAACATAAGGAAGTTCATATTTGATGATAAAGAGGTTGATAGAATTAATAACTTTTTTAGAAGATGTAGATAACCCTAATATTTCACTAACAGAAAGACTAATGATCTCGCAAAATTGGAAACTCTTTTTTTTTCTACACTGTATATAGCCACAAAAAAGCTGCAATCTGAAGCATAGACAGGAGGCGAGAATGGAAGAATGTGATGTTTGTTCTTTCTAAAATGGAGGGTTTATTGCAGAAGAAATCATTTCTTCAATAAAGAAAAGAGAAACTAGTTTGCTAGATAATGACATCTTGCTGGGTTCAATATATGTAGATCCGAAACACCGAATTTTCTTGGATAACGAACACATTAAAAAGGCAAAGAAAGCCACCTATGAACGTTCATTAAGAACGAAATTATTTTCAGAACAATTGGAGAATTTGAATTAGGACAGTCAAAATGCAGACATTGATTGCAATTGAGTCTCTATCATCCTGTTCCAGTGATGAATTAGATTTGGAGAAATATTTTTGGATAATATTGAAAAGAGGCAAAGCGAATGAAAATAAAGAACCAGGAGCCTTTAGATACAAAAATGAGAAAATACAAACAAGATTTCTACACGGGCTTTGAAGAAACAGAGAAATATGATTGCACTAGCAAGACACCTTTTTTATAACTCATAAAAATCTATCCTGAAAAGTTAAAAGAAGTAGCCCTAACAATAAAAGCTCTTCCTCCTACTCAAGTTAGCGTGGTTAATGTAGAAAGACTCTTCTCAGCTCTGAAGTTGATCAAATCGGATCTATAGCTCTCCAACAAAGAATATCTTGCTGAAGCTATAATGTTTCTTAGAAGTAACTAATGCCAGTTTTTCCATTTCATAATAAATGCAAATTAATATAAATGGTTTGCTATGGCATCTGTTTTTTTTTTTTTTTCCCCTGTACCATTTATTACTTCTTTTATATTAAAAAAAAAGCTGTAACCTATGTGTATATGTTTACATATAATATATATGAGGGAGTCGGAATCAAAGTCTAAAATTCCAGGAGTCGGAGTCGGTTATTTTCCTTCTGACTCCACAGCCCTGGTTATTAGACTAATTAATTATACATGATTCTAAAATTTAGTGTGTAACTCATTATTTAATTTTTTTTCAACTTTATTTTTAAGTAAATGCATTTAGTTTTATTATTTCCTAAAAATTTTAGATCAATGACAATTTGAAAAGAAAAAAAGCTTTTACTGTCAAAATTATTTTACATATGATGAAAATAAAGTTAATAATTAATGTGTACACAATCACATTGCTGGACTTAAGGAGTTCTGTTATAAAAAAGATCAGAATATAGTAAATTGAAATAAAAAGCTATATAAATATATTTATGTTGCAATATCTAATGCAATACTGAGCCAGAAGAAGTTTTTAAATGCATGAAGTATGGGATGAGCTGTACTTAGGAAACAAGCAATCAATTGTTAAATGATGAATCCAGCATATTTGGTATGAATTAACTATGAATTTTAGCTATTTTGGGTAGTAGTTCAGTATCACCTTCAAGTTCTCTTATTATGTCTATGCATTATTGACAATTTATATTGCACCCACTCCATTTACCTTTGCTCAGAATGGCTATAACTTTACATCTAAAGTTTCTGCTGATTTGAGATTACTTGGGAGATCAGCAAGATCTTACATGAAAGTTGCTTTTATGCATTTTTAAGTTTGTCGATAACTTTTAGACTATCTGTACAGATATATGTATTTAGCGTTAATTTTTTTTGACTCATTTAAAAAAAAAACATTATTTTTCCCCTAAATTTCATAATAATAAATATTACCTTTCACAAATTGAATCTAAACTGTTAACTGGTACCACAGGTGATTCTCTGTCAATGTCAGTTAGAAAGGTACATGCAGACTGTCCACTAGATCCATTCATTGTTGACTGTGATAGTGAATTATAAGCAAAATTTCCTGTGGAAACTGGAGCTTGCCATTTAAATACATTCTTTAATAAACTCAGACCAGGTTCTTTAGAATCCTTAGGTGGTCTACTAGCAGGAAGTGTAGGTGGTTTAACCATTGACTCACCACGAACAACTGGAGTTACAGTAGGATCAATGATGGCATATGAATGACTCCTTCTTGAATTATATACTGAAAATATATGTTAACAAAATATTAAACAGCATTGAATTAATTGAGATACAAATTCCATCAATATTATATTACAAATATCCCTTAATTTTGATACAAGAAAAATAGATTTCTGCTTTTTGTTAATTTTTTTTTTTTTTTTTTTTTTAAATATTACAGGGAAAAAATTTAGAGGGAAAACAGTTTTAAAACTTACAATCTTATTGTCTTTATTTTATGTCACTTAAGTACATTCTAATGCTAACACAGAGCCGAATTCAGATAACCTGAACATATTCTAACCTTAAGCCAAGAACCATGCAGTTACAAGTCGCTTTTTTTTTTTTCTCTTCCTGTTTTTCTTGTTTCACTTAATTTCAATTAATTAATTTAATTATTTGCCCATAAATGATTTACTGAGGCATGCTTATATATTAAGAATTATGTAATATAAAAAAATTATATTTTTAAGTATAATAATTATGTACAATGAAGAATATCATACAAAGTGGAGAAGAAAGAAAAGGAGAAATAATAGGGAAATTTTTTTTAAATAAGATATTTTACTTAAAACAAAAAAAGATATCCATCAGTGAAATTACCACTCTTTAAAGAGAACAAAAACAGTAACCAAATATATAAATGTACTGTAACAAAAAAATCTGGTAGTAAGTAAACAGTTAAAAAAATAAATACAATAATCAGCACAAAAAAACAAAAATTTTATTCTTGATTATAGTTTACTTGCAACAGCTTAGTCTAATATTACTAAAGCAGTACTATTATAGTAGTAAATATGGTAGTAGAGATTTTTGTTATATAGCTTAATGTAGTTTCTATTTTAACTTTATTCCAAATGAGCCATCATAACAACAATGCTTTGATAGTGTTGTATTGCTTCAAAGAAACTGCAGTCAGTGATAAAAATTTTGCTTGTCTGTACTAATTACCACACTGAATTTCATTTTTAAAAACTCTTTTAATCATAAAAAAATTACTTTCCCATTGGCAGTATAGTTTACTGTAATGAATCTCTATGCTAATATTGCTTCATAGATGTATTCCAAAAATACGCATATTGGATTAATAGCAGTTAAAAAGAAGAGCGAAAACAAAAAGTTTGGTTATATTAAAAGAAAATTCAGTTAATCTCTAGCTGGAAGAATGAAACTGGCAAATTTCAGTGAAATATTTATTTGGTGACATTATAAAGGCATCATTTTTATTCAATGAAATTTGGTAGCTGGAAGAAGGAAGCTTATTGCCAATAATATCCCAAAATTGTCAAAGCAATTTTGTATTCTCCCATCTGAAGATATATCGAAAGTTTCTTGATTTATTTATAAATTTTTTTGTTGCTAAGTTTTGCACTTTTTACATCAGAAGAACCTCTACAAGCACTGTTTTAACAATCAACTTCTATTCATCATTAATACAAACAAGTTTATTTGTTGTGTCGTATTTAAAAAAAAAAAATTAAAAAAAAAAAAAAAAACCTGAAGCTTCAATCGACCTGAAACCCTTCAGATTGTACATACCCTAAAGGGGCATTTTGTATTTCATTGTTTCGTTTGTTTTTATATATCATGTTTGGTCTTAACCATAAATTCAATTCACAGCATATTGCAAATAATTTCAAATAGCATATCCTGAATTCCGAATACAGTCTCGCGGGCTGGACATAATTTTTTTTTTTCCCCCAACGTGTTGCCATTGCTCACTTACGTTAATCAAGATGTTTGTTATCAAAAATTTGTTACAATTTTCAATATTAATAGATAATAAAACAAATTCCAAGTTGGGCTTCGAGATGCTATTTTGGGTGGCGACACACGTTATTCAACAGTTGAAGCTCTAGGTACCATTGTTTTATCACAATGTGAGAAACTACACTTTATGCAGATTCTCATTATTTAATTTCTTTAAATATACACAGGGCTCTAATTTTGTGCACACTTTGAAAGTGAACTGACTTTACAGGATCAACGCAAAATCAAAAAATTAATAGTCCTTCTGGGCAAATTGCCCCTTTGGACTAAAAAAACTTGACAAAACTTAGCAGCAGATTTAAATTTGAACTTAATGCCAGAAAATTATGTACAATCAAATGCTTTACACATATTAAACCTATTAACTCAGAATTAATTAAAAGAGGTATAACATATATCAGAAGTAAGATTTATCTAAAATGAAAAATTTGCAGAAAATAATTAAACAATCCTTGAATAAATTTGCTCCTTCAATCAAAATGTGCTACAAATATATTTTAGTAAAGAAGTGCATCTCCTACATACATATATGAAACTGTCTCCAATAAATAACATTTCCACTATGTTCAATTTTCTGAAAATCGAGAGCCATTCATATTCTGAAATTACACATTTATAGATGATCAAAATTCTACTGCATTAGAAAACAACACACTCATTTCTAATTTACATAAAATCTCAATAACTGTTCCATAGTAATAATAAAGTTGCTTGCAATTTCAATAATATAAAGTTGCTAGAAATTTTAAATTGCCATAATGGATTTAAATTTTTGTTCTCAGAAGTGAAAGAAATTGCCAATATTCAATAATAAAAATTAAATTAGTACTTAGATGTGAACATTAAAGACAACTGATATTAATTTACTTCAAAGAACATTCATAGTCATAAGTTTTAAAGATAGATTTTCTCAGATATTATTTCTTAATACAGTAAGAGTATAAGTTCATTATTATATATTTTAAAGTTTGTATATCTAAATTAGTGTTTATATATGAAGATTTAATTTTCCAAAATATGTTCCCTTTTGCTTTATCAACAGTTGTTATTTTTTTAATTTTTGCCAAATGCAATTTCAATTTATTGTTATCAGATTACCTGAACATAAATTTTTGAATATCTAAAACTCTTTTCACTGTTTCTTACCTTCATATAAAATTTGGTTAACATCTCGGACAATAGCTTGTGGACGTTTACGGCTATCTTGATCAACAATCCAACATTCAAATATTAATTTTTCAATTTCTTTATGACAGCCCGGAGGGGAGCCCAATGAGCTCCCTTTCTGATATAATTCTTTGGCCTTTGATGCAAAAATAAAATAAAATTAATAAAGACACACAATAAACATATGAATGCTTTGCTAGCAACACCATTTTAAAATTATAAATGAAAATATAAACACTACTGAGCCAAAAGAGGAATTCTAAGTATTAAATTATGGGATGTTCATGCATGCATTTGTGTGTGTATAGACCAGACTTCACTAAAAATTGAGCACAGAATCTCCTCTCCATTTATATGTGCTCCACCATTTGCATTAACTGGAGCCATTAACCCTTGAAGCTGCCAAACTATACATATAGCTTCAAAAATATTAATCATGATATTTTTTAGTATATGGCTGTGCATCTTGAAATGTACCCAGACAATTAAAGTAGAAGAAATTAGTGGAAAAAAATGAGTTAAGGTACGAGTTGAGAGGGGTACGAATTATAATCTTCTCTTATTCATGGTCCTTTTGGGAAATTTAATGCTTGGCTGCATATGGAGCTTAAACAACTGGATTAAATCTGCTTAACCCTGATGCTCATGTATTTTTTCTAACTTATGCAATTCTGATAAAGGCTGCATTGTTGCACTGTGGCACAGAAGTCAACTGCCATAGCCGTGGGCCCTAGTTTGAATCCCTGCAAATATACAGAGTCTTTGTTGCACACGGGCACTTAATACATTTTCAAGGAAAATGTCGTCTCAAGAGGTTGGTGACAGGTGGAAGGGGGAAGGAAGGCTTTGAACCCATCCCCTGAGGAATTCTCTGTTGAAACTGGAACACATCTAACCAAACTCATACCTTTATTTACCTGGTGTCTGAGGCCAAAGTCAATGCCTAAGCACAACACTTGCCTCTTGATCATGATAAAACATGCGACCTAGCGGTAAGTTCAGATCAAAAGGAATAGAGCCAAGAATAATTCTGGTAAGACCAAGTGTGCCCCTCACAAAATTACATAATTTAAATTCTTTTAAAATAAAGGCACTCTTTAGAATTAAAAGAAAGCTGTCGGAATGTCTAGATACATCTGTAACTTCTCAAATTAAATTTTTAAAAAGTCTATGAGGACTAAACAATGCTCAAAAACAAATAACTACTTGCAGTGAATGACGTATGCACTTTCCCAAAAGACTGATACCTTTAATATAATTGAATATTTTTCTCTTGCTTATCAGCTGCAAAAGTTATAGTACATGAATATTTAGATTAATTTCTTTTGCATGTATCTGGTCGTTGCCTAAAATTTTTATTTTATTAACTTTTCATCATTTTTAGTTTATAATATGCACTGTATCATTAAATATTTCAATTGCAATTTTAAGTTATATTATTACTATTTATATATCTTTTATTTTATATGCACATTTTAAAGTATAACTTTTATTGGAATCCTGTAATCAACCCCTCTTATTTCGTGACTGTGGCACTGGGGGATACTTTGTGGTTGTCTCATATTCAGCTGTGCACCACCAGCTGACGTCACATGTTTTGTAATAGCTGCCTGTGCCACTAGCTGACACCACACATTGCCGTTAACATTAGTTCTGTAAAGTTTGAGTATCATGTAGTAGTTTCTGTGTTTTATGAATAAAGTGTGTTAATAAAGTTGACTGTTTTAACAACGTGGAGTTATGTCTTGTAGGAACTAACACCGAGTCACATCAACAATATTACAGGTACATTTTTATATAACCCACAGCAGATGTAACTGCAATCAACACTTTATTCAGACCAGGACTTAGTTCTTTGGCAGCTATGGCTTCTCTGTGAATTATGCAATGTGTCCAGATACATTGTGAACATTTTTGTCTTACTAATGTTTTGCAAACTTTGAAATTTTCCAGTCATTACTCCAGTACCATCTATACATAACCCAATATTGTTTTCCCACTGTATGCTGGCTTTTGATCATGAACTCAATATTAATATAAAGCAAATGCCAGGGTAATTTTAAACTTGCAGTAAAAAAATAAAGGAATAAATTTTATTAGAGATAAAAAAAAAAAAAAAATTGGGAGCACAGTTTAAAAACGGCATGAAAACTAGGGTTGCTTGCAAATATTTAAAAGCTGAGAAATCATGATTTCAGATAATAAGTACACGATACTAGAACGCACAGTATCTTTCTTTTGCTGCACTATCTTTAGAAGATACAGCTAAAACAACAGAATTCCTTATTTTCATGCATATGAGGGAGAGAGAAAATATATTCTAAAAGCAGAATGCAAAACATGTTACACTTCAGTATTACTTTATTGGAAGGCATTATTGCATGAATATATCTTCATTTAAAATATACCATATTTATGCTGCTACATGAATATTGCATTTTCAACGAAGCAAACAGTAAAAATACCGAGATTCCAAATCGTCGAGATTTTGGCGCTTTCAGAAATTTCTGGATTTTAGATCATCAGTTTAAATCTAATAAGACAGCATGTAGAATTTTTTTAAAAATATATTTATTGCAGGTATCCTGCATAAAGAAATTTTTTTTTTTTTTGAATCACCACCACCTGACATTAAAATCTTACTCAAAGACAAAAATTCACCATTCTGTTAATTGATAACTGAGACACTCTCATCATAGTGTAAGACTTTATATAATATCTTTATTTAACATTTCTTCTGTATTCCATTGAGTAAGTTTAACTTTTTAACTTTTTCTTGTGACATCCAAAAACTTTCAGATTCGTACCTTTCATCATCATTATGCAGTTTGGTAGCTGGTTATGAATTATGCTAAGCCTTTTTAACCCTTTCAGGACGGGCGTCCCATTTATGCATTCCCTAAGAACGTCTCTTACAGCCGAGTGTCCCATCCACGCATCGCTAGAGATTGCATTCAGAGGACGGGTGATGCATATACGCATTTTAACCTGGAACATTTTTCTGAAGGCCACTAGATTGCATCCTATGTCCATTACTTTTGAAATGAACACAGTTTTAGGTTCCTGACCTTGAATTAGATATATTCTGCTTGACTTTGGTATTTTACTCATCACTCTGCGATAGTGGGGGGTAGGAAAGGCGTAAACAGAGGTGACTCTTTTTTTTTAATATCGGTGCATGCTAATGAAACATTCACATGTCTGATTATATCCATCCTCTTTTTATTATTTCTATTTTTTCCTTTACTATGTACGATCTTTAGGTAGTACGTGAGTACTGTTACAGTTTTCTTGCCTCAGATATATTTCTCGTTCTCCTCTTTTATTTCGGAAAGCTCACCTCCGTTCTATTATGACAAGCAAAGTGCCATTTTTTAGAGGAGAATAACCCTCGATGGTCATGAACCATTTATTAACACACATGAGGGTGTGAGTCATTTCTAGAGTTAGAAGTATACTTTTCTAAGCGTTAGAAGTGATACTTCTCCGGCTTCGGATTTACCCACTCCGTCTTCATTTTAATTGTTACTCTTACTGTAAATATCTTTATTGTGTTGTTTTATTAATTTTAAACTTTATGAGGATTTTATCATTAAACTTGACAAATTTGAATAGCGTTCGAAATTTCTTACAAGATAACAATTTAAAGAAAAAAAAAAACGTTAAGTCTAATTTTTAACATATAAGAGCCCAAATAATCTAAATGATACCAAATTCGATGCTAGAAACAAAAATTTTTTTTATAAAATGAGGCTTAGCGAAGCAAAACCTCCGTCCTGTACGGTGACTGCCTTCGATTCCCTTCCGCCCTGCACGAGCATCTTAAACAAAGGTACGCCGCCACGAAAAGGTTAAAATTTCTTTAGACAAACCCTCTCATGATCTTTCAATCATCCACACATTAGACTTTTATAGTAAAATATTTCTAGAATTCTAGGATGATCTTATTTCAGCATCGTTTCAAAAATGCTACTATATATCTACATTTCAGGGTACACAAAATTCCAATACCCATACATTGATTTATGGATAATTCATATCAGAATGTTCAGGGGAAAATGCCATATGCTAGGTTCACTGAGCTTAAATTACCTGGAATCTAATTCTTTCTCCTTTTACCACTACTATGCTAACAAAAACAAACCCAAAAAAAAAAAAAAAAAAACAGCACGTGCAATATCTCATCAAAATAAATATGTCTTGGGGCTTTCCTTCTTGTTCAAGTCAGACAGAAAAATTATGCTAACTCTTCTAACTGCTTAAATGCTAAAGTATGGTGTTAGCTAACATCACTAAAAGTATTGTTGTTGGCTGTAAAGTGTTTCCATATCTAGGTAGTGTTTGAGATTAACATACAGGAATCTCAGTTAGTTTTGAGAAAAATCTCTCTTATGACACATATGTGTTTTCCATTCCTTAGCTTGTATTATATTTTCCATTCCTTGGCTTTGTAATGGGAAAAAAAATCTTATTAAAAAATAAAACTAGTGATGCAGATATTAGATGTCCACATTTCAGATTTTACACTGCATTACTCTCAGATGTAGAGACACAGACATACAATCAAGAATATTTCAAGAAATTAAAATTAAAAACATTTTACCAACAAAAACAGTATGATTTCATCCCTAAACATTACGTCAGAAACTGGCACACCAGATACAGAATTGTTATACCATAAAACCTTAATGAATGTTGAAGTATTTACCATTTCACTCACTTAATGCCCATTTAATCAGTAACTAATATACTTTTGTTAGATGCCTTACAGCTAAATGTCTGTGCCATATAAAATCTAGTTATTTCAACATGAATTAAAAAAGCATCACTTTTTAAGCAGTTGTTGGATAAAATGAGTGAGAGCTAATCTGCAGTATAATTAATTATTTTTTCAATTACCAAATACTTATTTTTGGCAGAATTGGTTGACTGCACAAGCACTTTCCTGGTTTTTTTAAACTTTAATGTAAACAAGATGAATTTCTTTATGAAAGTCATTCCCAAAAGCTGTTGAAGGTTCACATGGTTCATGTGTTTGCTATCTAAACCTAAACACTGGTTATTTTCGACAAGGAGATAAAATAAAAAGAATGAAAGGTCCTACCTTATTAATGGGTAATCCATCTCGCTGTATGTCAGGGACACAAATTATTATTATTAGCACACAAAAACATATTTATTAGGTATGAGAAGGAAAAAAAAAAGTATCTAACCATGGTACATGCATTATCTGCTCTCCATGGTAAAACACTAAAGAATGAATCATACAAGGAGAGAATGTTTCTCTTTTTTGGGGGAGATTGAGTCCAATTCCAGTTAGTGGGAGTGAGGGGAAGTAATGTTGGAGGATACAGCTTAATCACTTTCATTTTCAATTTCGGTTGCTCCACAAAAGCATGCTGCTCATAGTAAATAATCCTCATATTATTTTGCCAGTTCTATTTGAATCCAGCTTAAAGAGGGTTTTCAATTTTAATGTCAGACCTAGGCTTCTTTTTTTATTCAACAAATTTCAATAGATGGCAATAATTAAATAAAATTATGACAATACCTCTTTTGGTGACAGATTGCTGAATGGTTTAGCACCATATGAAAATATTTCCCATAAAGTGGTACCAAAAGCATAAACATCTGCAGCAGTTGAACTAGCAGCACGGGAATAATCATTGTAGCATTCTGGTGGAATCCAGTGTATACTGTAGTAAGAACACATATTTAAAAATGTAACATATCAAAGATACTTTAACATTGTATATGCACTGTTATAGAAGAAATAATTAAGCATGTACAGGACAGTTGTAGTCACATAAACACAGCTATGTGTTTCGTAAAATTTAAATATATTTGAATGTTAGCGAATATTTAATATCTTATTTACTTACGCTTTTCAACATCCCTTTTTTTTTTTTTTTTAAATTCCCCCAAAATACTATGTTCTGTTTAGCTAATATTTTGCAATACCAACAGATAATAATAATAAAATTCCATAATAAATAGCGAAATCTCTTTAAATCTTTAAATATATAAATTTATTCATACAGAATGTGTTCACACAGTTTTAGAACAATTTTAATAACATTAAAAAAAGAGAAAATGTTTTGAAATAAAAATTTCTGGTAACAGCTTATTAATTGAATCAAGAAATGTTGTCTACTACTTTTTAAATTTATGCTTGTTTCAAAATGTCATAAACAACCTGTGGAATGAAAGATACATTTCTGCAATTCCCAAAGAGAAATATGGAGATCACACTGAAATTTTTGAGATATGCACAGATGTTGGCACAAAAATATTAACCAATAGATTTGAAAATATGAAATAGTCTAGCAGTCTTTTTTAATTGGCCAACTGCAAGTAGTTTAGCATAGAATAAATTTTAGACAGAAGGAAAAATGTAGTTGACATGAGAACATTATCACACTATGATTTTAAAGTGGGACTAAATCAAGAAGAACGTGTTCAATGTCTGCAATTAGCATTTGGAAATGAAGATCCATCTCATGTTGCTGTATTCAGATGGTTTACAGAATTTCACAGGGGTCGAAATTCTCTTCAGGATGAAGAACACACACACAGGAAGGCCGTTGTCAGAGGGAATCCCAGATTATTTATCTGCCATATGGAAAATGTTAATAGATGATAATCGCGGCACCTACCAAATGATACAGAAGATAACATTAACATTAACATTGGATCTGCCACCATTTGAATGAAATTTTTCTTCGTCAACATTTCTTAGAACATTTAACTTAAATGTGTAATCATCGCCAAGGGTATTGTCAATATAAAAGGTTACCACACTCTTCATTATTCAATTACTAACATTAAAAAAATTGTTTAGGCAATCGAGTCATTACTCAAGTTGTCATGTGTTGATAAACATATGGTGATGAAAGCAAAATATCATAAATAATGATTCAACAGGCTGGCATCAGGGATGTAAAATATTAGTAGGTGTAAATTCAACGATGTATCTATTTAAAATGTTTCGGTTTCAGATATAAGACAAGCAGACAATTTGGCAGCTACAGAGCCAAATTATTGATGATACAAATTTATGCTAAAATGATTTTTCTTCAATGATGAGATATTTTATTTACTGCAGAAAAGAAATTAATAATCTGAACTCTCCACATGTTTTATTATACGTGGGAGGGGGAATAAAATGCTCATGCGTAAAGCATACACACACACACAAAAAAAAAAAAAAAAAAAAAGGTGTTCATGGCTTTGTTCAGGTCTGGATTTTAGATCATTCCAGATATTAAACATCCGGATCTCAGGTTTTATACTGTAATACAGCATCCCTAATCTCTCTCTTTAGAACCCATGAATAGAGTACTCTCAATAATCCTCCAGTATTCTTGCAATATATACTCACTATGTGTTTCTTTTCTTAACACCATAAAATTAAAAAACTGTAATGAATAAAGACAGAAAAATATAAGATGTTCTTTCTCAGAGAATGATGGCTTTGAGGCTGCTTTTTAAAGGTATGTTCATTGAAAGGGTCTGAAATCCATTTGTTCTCACTTTGCGGAAACAACACTTGGAGGCGAATTACGTGCATTACTACATTCTCTTTGATTTCATTTAAATGTAAGCTTTTTCTGACAAGAAATTATACAGAGTCTCAAATATGCGGCCTAATTCCCCCCCCTCAATGCATGGTTCCCAAAAATCTAACATTTTGATAGATGCTTTGAAAACAGTTATGGAACTGCTTGGTAATCCAAAAAGAGTTCAATTATTTTTGAAAAATATTGTAGCATTAGAGTAGCCCTTTAAGTCATTTATTTACAAATGCAAAATTGCAAGCTTAACTGAAATGGATGATCTCCCAAAACTTGCTTAATACAGATGCCAGGCCAGACCTATTTTCCACGAATTGTTTTTGTTCAGTGCAAAGATAATTTATTAACTACTTATCCCTTCATATGTAATAGTTTACATTTAGCAAC